AGTTTTATTCTAATGTAGAGAAAATGAAACTACCACAATCCCATTAACTAGTTTCTTTTGTTTTGTATTCTCTATTAGTTTACAAGTCGTTTCCAAGAAAACAATTTTAAATAGAAAAAAACTCTTCTCTTTATAATTTTAGTTTATTTACCCCTTACCAAAGAAAAAAGTATTTTTATGATTTTTACTATTACTCAAATGACAATAATGAGAACAATTATAAAAATTAATAGTTTTCACCAATACTTTTTAATATAATTACCCAAATCACTAATATTCTTAATTCCTCCTTCCGGTCATTGTAAAAATTTTTTTAGCCAGTCAAACATAATTTAGTTATAAAGTTATCTTTTATATTTTAACTCAATTCATCAATATAATTTTCATTTCAGAAGCACAAAAAACCATTATACATCATATACATATAAATAAAAATGGCGCGCTCGGGAGGATTTGAACCCCCGACCCTTTGATCCGAAGTCAAATATTCTATCCACTGAACTACGAGCGCAAGTTTATCAAGTTTATTAAATAATTTTAAGCATTTGTTATAAAAGTTTAATCTTTCCTTTTTAAATGGTGGTAAATTTTGATGAGAACAAACTATATTCCTTAAAATTAATAATATGAATGGTTACTTACTTTTTCTAATAATCCCTGCATCAATAATAGTTGGCGTGGTAATTGGGGCGTTGCTAACTTCTTGATACCTTGCTAACAAGATAAGAAAAGAATTAGGTTTTAAAAACATGAAAGAATTCATTACCCACGCCAAACAAGCCCAAGCCATGCAAAAGAAAATGGAAAGGGAGGGTATTATGGGAATAATGAATGACCCTAAACTAAGAAAACAAATGGAGGAGTTGCAAAAGAGGTTTGGCGGGAAAGGTAAATAAATTTTTAGCAATTTAAGTTTAAAGAAAAATATAACGGACATTTTTCCTTTAAAAGATAGCAAGTGAGGTAGGAGAATGATTTCTAATACAATGGCAGAAAATTAAAATAATTACTAGTCATTTTTAGTTCTTTTCTGTTATATTCTTTTGATTTAAATAGAAAAAATGAATTAGAGAACAAAAATATTAATATAGGAAAGAATATAAAGTGGGACTATAGCGCAGTTGGTTAGCGCACACCGCCGATAACGGTGAGGCCGGTGGTTCGAGTCCACCTAGTCCTACCATATAAAATAACAAAATAAATATATAACATATAGTAATTTATAAAATTATGGATAATAAGTATAAATGTAATAATTGTCAAAAAGATTTTCCAAAAGGGGATATTTACTATGCAGGAAAGGAAAAGAAATTATTGTGTCATGAATGTTGCCGACAAACTATAAAAAATTGTAGTTGGTGCCAAAGTAAGACCGAGGGGTGATTTGTTTGCTGAAAACAAGCCACTACGGAGAAAACCCCCGATGGGTCAATTTTAATTAAGAAAGATGGAGAATATAACATTTTTTGTTCAGATAATTGTCGAATGAATCATAAGGAGAACACTCCCGAAAAGTTAGCCGAACACCAAAAGAGACAGGAATTAATAGAAAAAGGTTATAAACCTTGTCAAGGAAGGGGAATAATGCCTTTTCTGGCTGGTTTAGAAAAATGCGGAATATTAATTCCCCCTACGACCGAATACTGCGAAAGATGCAAGGAGGAGCAACGAAAAGAACAAGAGAGGAGCGAGGAGTGAAAACATAAAAATCCTGAAAAAGCCCAAATTGAAGAACAAAAATATCAGCAAGCCCAAAACTGGTGAAATTCATTAAGCAAAGAGGAGAAATTACAGGAAATAAAAAAAATCGAGCAAGAATGAATTAAAAAATCCGGGGGAGATAATTTTAGCGGACATATGAGTGATGGCCTTTGTGAAAGTAGCATAGAATTTAAAAATGGTTCACTTCATGTTTATCCCGAGGATTTAAGCAAAATCCCACCTCCACTTTTAGAAAGATTTGAGGTCAATGTTGTTCCTTCACACTCAAAAAAAATCTTTCCTAGTGGTGGCTCTTATTCTGACAATTTACAAGACCAAATAAGCAACCTGGAAAGTAAATTACAATGTGCCAAGCAGTCTGGCGACAAAAGTGAAATAAGTAAGTTAGAACAAGAACTAAACAACCTAAAATCACGGCAAAAAAATAATTCTTCTTCTCTCCAATCGCCAAGTCCAACCTATTGACCCTGAATAGCGGTAATTAGTATAGTTTCTTCAATTACCCTTCTCGGATTTTGAGTAGTCAAGAAACGCCAAAAAGTAAAAAAATAATATATGAAAAAAAGAATTCGTCGAAGTCGTATTCAATTAGTTTGCGGGCAAGCCAAGCCCGGTGCTAGTTTAGCCTTTTTAAAAAACATGACCTTGTTTTGTCGGGAATTTAACGAAAAAACTAAAGAAAGAAACGGAGAATTAGTTAGCGTGGAAATAGTGGTTTATCCTGACAAAACTCATAAGTATGTTATTGGCACCCCCCCCCACTAGTCATTTAATAAAAAAAGCCCTTGGTGAGAAAAAAGAAATTACCCAAGCAGAATTGGAACAAGTGGCAAAAGAAATAATGTCAAGTTTAAATACTGAGGATATCGAAAAAGCCAAAAAAATTGTGGCGGGTACTATCCGAAGTTTTAATGGTGTTAAAGTAAGTTAATAGATTACACAATGTCATCAATGTTGGGAAATTGGACTAATTACAAGATATTATTAACTAACATAGAGGATTATTAAGGAGATTTTTATGATTATTATTTTAGAGTTTTATTATCTTACTATTATTAATTATTTTTATAAGAAAAGAAGTCATAGATATCTCTAACATTATTCTTTTTACTTAACAATTCCTTTATAATTTATCACTCTTTTTAATAGTTGAGTAATTTATAGTAAAAGTTAAAAACCTAGCAAAAAACAAAGGTAAAGAAGGAAGATAATATTTTTGTTGTTCCAACTTTAATTTATTGTTCCAACCATTAATAAGAGGTTTGGCACTTCCATTTTATTATCAAACTTATCGAACTATAATTAGGTTGTATTAATTTTGTTCGGATGTTCAGTTGTATTAATTATTACTCCTTCTCCTTTTTCTCCTTATCTTTTTGCTTTTGTTTCTCTCTTTGTTCTTTTCTCTTTCTTTCTTTTTCCCTAGTCTTGGCTTCTCTTTCTAATCTATCCTTATCTTTTTTCTCCTTATCTCATTGGGCTTCTCGTTCTTTTTTGTCTTTTTCAGCTTGTAATTCTCGGTCTTTCTGTTTTTCCTTTTCCAGTTCTCTCTCTTTCTCCCGTTCCCGTTCTTTTTCTCTCTCTAATTCTCGTTCTAATTGTCTTTCTTTTTCTCGTTCAGCTTCTTTTTCTTTCTCTTTTTCAAGTTCTTTTTCATAATCTTTCTCTAATTCACCACCTTTTTCTTTGAGTTCTTTTTCTTCTTCGGTTAATTTTTCCTTACCCTCTAATTCAAATTCAGGTAATTTTTCCAGTTTTTCAGGGTCAGTCTCTCCAATGTTGCTCCTAAAAGAAGTATTGTTATCAATTCATTCAGGCTCAACATATTCTTTACCTAAATATTCATTTTCTTTTTCTCCTTGTATTCTTTCATATTTAAACCGATAATCAATTTCTTCTTTGTTAATTTCTACTCTAATACTAATGTTAGTGCCTGATAAAGTAGCCACAGCTGTATCTCCTTCTTGACTTTTAAAACTAGCATCAGTTTCATTGGAAGAAGAGTTAAAACCATGTATTCGATAAGTATACTTTCCTTCGGGGATATTAAAGTGAACTGTGTCATTTCGGTCATGTCAGAAATATCAGCAAGAACTATCGGCTTTTCTTTTAAAATGACCTGATAACATCTCCATAATGTCGGGTAAGTAATTAATGCCTGTGGTATCATTTTTTAAATAACTATCCTTGTAAATATAAACGGCTGTGCTGTCAGGGACTACTGTATCCCCTCCTTGGGCTGTGCCTCCAATATTTTTCTTTTTAACTACATCTACATCCTCCTGTCCTGGACTAGTATTAGAATTAAAGGTATCTCCATGAGTAAAAGATTGTAATTGCTTGTATCTAGGTCTCCAAGGTTGGAATAATTTATCTAAATCATCATAAAAATAAGTTCCTGCTCCACAAGCACTTTTTAAGGTATTATCAATGTCAAACATTAAATCCACTTGTCCTTGTCATGCTCCTACTTTTACACATTGTTTAAAAGCACTAAACCGACATTGAATATTTTGGAGAGGAGACTTATTGTTATTATTTAAGAGATTGTTATATAAAGTTTCGGAATGTTCAAACCTAATCATAAATGGATTGGCTACACATCGATTAGCAAACTCAAAGAAGTCATAATTGAAATCAATGGTATTAGAATAGAAAATTGAAGGTTCAACTATTCGATGCTGACTTTTGGCTGTGGATTTTTTGGCTCGGGCTGTGTGTTGTTCGTTTTCGGCTTGGTCTTTGTTTTGGTCTCCTTCTAATTCAATTCCTAAAAATTCATGGTATTTTTTAGGGGTAATAATGTCAGCTAAATGATTACCTTTTTTCTTGGCTTTTTCATCTCCTCCTCCAAAAAAACTAATCAGACCTCCAACATAAGGAAGTTTGCCACCTAATTTAATCAAGGCTCCTCCTGCTCGTTCCATAAACCCTGACATTACCGAGCCTAGTAAATTATTAAGAAAATTTTGCTCCATGATAGAGCCTTTAACTTTCAATTCTCATTTGTAAAAAATATCTCCACTTTCAAAATTATAAAGAATACCAGCAATGGAACTTCTAATTAATATTCGATAACCTAATGCTCAACCATTTCCCTTTCTTCTAACCTGTAAATGTTTTAAATTGGCTGTAAATAATACTTTCTTTTGAAAATAGAATTGGGCTGAGGAGTGATTTAATAAATGAGGTTCTTCTTGGTAGCAACGAGGTAATTCTTCTCACAAATAGCCATCTTTGTCTCTTGGTATTCTTCGGGGGTCGGCTGCTGGGATTACACAACCTGGTTTTTGTTTAGTTTGGTGTTCTCCATCTACTACAAATAAGAGAGTAGGGACAGAACTATCCTTCATAATTCCACTTAAAGTATTGCCAATACTTCGACCAGTTTCTAACTCTTTTAATTTTAAGTTAGTAGGGACAGCAATTACAGGTTGACCTTGGTCATCAGTAATCACCACAGCCGAAGTATCTGAAGAAGACATAACTCCTACTTTGGGAGCATAAGAGTAAAGGAGTTTAAAAGAGGGCTGTCATGATTTAACGATGGTCGGAGAAGAATAACCAACTGGAACAGCTTTTTTATTTCTTAAATCTCCACAAAAATCAAAACAATTATCACAAGCAGGACAGTTATGAGAGTTTTGGTCTTTTCAGTCCTCATCCGAGGGTCAGTGTTCTTTTTGACTATTAATGAATTTACCCTCTTTATTTAAATGTTCGTTATTGAATTGAGAAGAAGTAATATTGGCTTGCCCTTTGCTATTCATCATGTCTCCGTAATAGGCTCAAATAGGACACTTTTGAGCTGTTAACTGAACTAATAAAGATTTGTTATTAATATAATCCCAACTAGTTTATTCAGTAAAGAGTAGGAAATTCTTCACCTTTTCGTTTAGCTTTTTCGTTTCTTTGTTTAGTGTCTTCGGATAAAGAGTTTCGACCATAGAATAAGACTATTCGAGGATTAGCAAAGTCATATTGTCCTCGATTTTGGAAGATAATGGTTAATCGATTATTGTTATTTCTAATGATATAATGAGGGATATTTTCTAAATCAGACCAAGTATTTTCCAAGAATTCTTTTTTGATTTCTAGGAATTTATCAGGGGTGGGTAAATATTTATAATCTTTGGGTCAGGCTCTTCATTGAGTATAGATTTTTAAGTTTCGATAGTCTTCATTTAGTTCTTTTTGAGGTTTACCATCTTTTAAGACTTCTTTTTCGGGTTTTTCTCAAAATTTAGAACGGGTTCGGATATCTTTGAGAGTTATTTTATTAGTGTTAGTGGCTTGGACTACTTTTTGATTGAGTTGAGACATAGGTTAGTAAGTTCTCAACTGTTTTATATAATTTTTTTTAAGGAATAATTAATGACCTTGGCAATTATCCTCATTATTTAAGTTTTCTTGCTTAGGTGATTTAAAACTTATCGATTTACATAAACTAAAAGGCGATCGAAAAGGTCAATGAGCCATCAGTATTGGCAATACTCAATACCGCATCTGTTTTTACTGAGGCAAGGATAATAGAGCATATGAAGTAGAGATTACAGATTATCATTAAAATTACTTAAATTATGAATAATAAAAAATTATCACCGGTTCATCCTGGTCGTATCTTACAAAAACAGTTTCTAAATCGTTTAGGCATTACCCAAAGTCAATTAGCACGAGATATTAATGTTTCAACAAGAAAAGTCAATGAGATTTGCCAAGGCAAAAGAAGCATTACGGTGGATACTGCGGCTCGCTTAGCAATTTATTGACCAGTCAGCGCTCAATTTTGATTGGGCATTCAACAATAATATGATTGAGAAGTTTTTCAAGACAAGTTAGAAAAAGAGTTAAAAAACACTATTCGACCTTATCGGGGAGAATTGTCTCGTCAGCGAATTTAAAACTTTTATATATGAAAAAAGAAGAAAAAAATGGAGTTCTAAATATAATTTGTGATAACTTGGGGGAATTTTTCCGCGAATTTAAGAAGTTTCGCGATGCCAAAAAATTTAATAACCTCACCCAGTTAGAAAATTTTCGTGAGTATGTTGATCATTGTCTTGGTTTTTGAGGAATAACCATGAATACCGGGAAGACTGCTACCGGAAAAGACTATGTAAAAGACGAAATAATTTCGGTCTCAATAAGCCTTCGCGAACCCCCGCTGGATGATGAAAAGATAGATTTGGTCTTAAAATTGCCTAATTTAAGCGAAGCAGAATTCGAAAATTACAGTCCGGAAATTGAAAAGGTTTTAGAGGAAATTTGAACTACTGGTGCGTTAAAAAATACCCGTGGTTTAGATTTGTATTGACCAGCAAAAAGACAGCTTTTTGTATGATGCGACCAATGTCATAAATACATAGAGGATAGAAAATTAACCTATTTTAGTGATATTGAAAAAAATTTAGATTTTTGTTCTGAAAATTGTTATTCCAAATTCAAGAAAAACAAGGAAGAAAACCAACAATTAAAGGCACAATTAAAAAAAGAAACTAGCCATAAAAATATTTGAATGGTAATTTCTATTAGCCTGGTCGTTATTTTTTCCTTTACTCTCTTAGTTGGTTGACGAAAAATAAAAAAACTTAAAAAACATTAAATGGCTCTTCCTAATAAACCACGAGGTACGCAGGATATATTCCCTCCCCGCTCCCTAATTTACCAAAAAATCCAACAAATAATTACAGAAATATTACAAAAAAGTAATTACCAGTCGATAATTTTCCCTACTTTTGAGGCGAAAGAATTATTTACCAGTTCACTGGGTTCTACTACTGATATTATTCATAAGGAAATGTATACTTTTTTGGATAGAAAAGACCGAGTATTAGCCTTAAGACCAGAAGGGACCGCCAGCACGGTGCGCTTAGTTTGCCAAAATAATTTGATTAGAGAGGGTTATCCCTTGAAATTGTACTATTGGGCCAACATGTTCCGTTATGAGCGTCCCCAAAAGGGGAGATATCGTGAATTTTGACAATTAGGAGTAGAATTAGTTAATGCCGAGGGAGTAATTGCTGATTATCAAATATTAAAACTGGTTACTGATATTTTACATGGCTTAGGGATCAAAAATTTTCATTTTCGTTTAAATTATCTGGGAGATGTGGAAACAAAGGAGAGGTATAGAAGAGAATTGAAAAAGTTTATTGAAAAAAACCCTTTGGGTTTATGCGAGGTCTGCCAAAAAAGGTATAAGGATAACCCTTTGCGAATACTTGATTATTGTTCTTTCTGCAAAAATAAATATTCTTTCCCTCACTATAAAATCGCTTGAAATGACAAAAATACTACTTATATAGATGAATTGAAATGACTCTTAGAAAATTTTAAACTACCTCACGAATTTGATTGCTATTTAGTGCGCGGATTAGATTATTATACAGGGTTGGTTTTTGAAGTTGACTTAGGAGAAAAAAAATCAATTTTAGGGGGAGGTAGATATGACAATCTCTATCAAGAAGTAGGAGATATAAGTGCTCCCGCTATTGGTTTTGCCATTGGAATTGAGAGGTTAGTAGATCATTTAGGGGAAAAAGGATTATTGAAAGTTGACAATAAAAAGATTGATGTTTTTTTTCTGGCAACCCATCCAGAAGTTTACTTGGATATTCTTGTTTGAAAGGAAGAATTAAAAAAATATCCCTTAATAGTAGACTATAACTTAGAAGTTAAAAAAATAAAAAACCTCGCCAAAATTATTGATTATTATCAGCCAAAATTATTAATTTTATTAGGAGAAAAGGAGTTAGAAAGTAAAAAAATAACCTTAAAAGATTGTCGAACTGGACAAGATTTTTTAGTGGAAAAAGAGAAGATAGTAGAATGAATTTACAAGTATTTGAATTAATAAACTAAGATGATCTGAAAACAATACCACTATTATAACGGGCATAAAGAAAATTAATTAAGCAATAAAACAAAGAGCAGAAAGATTGTTGCAAAGGTAAATTTTGCTCAATTTTCTTTAACCCACATCGTCCAATTTGTCATACATACCTATATTTATTAATATAGTAATAAACCATGTAACTTTTATGAGGCTAGATTAATAGAGCGAACAATACTTATAGCAACCTATTATTTTTCATCCCTTTGTAAGTTATTGATTAGAAATTAGGAGAGATAAAAATACGGTGAATTGAAAAGAGATTTAAGAAAGAAACTAGAAACTAAAGAAAAAAGGATCAAAAATTTAGAAGAAAAGCAGGAAAATGATGAAAAAGACAAACGTTCTGAATTAAGGGAAATAGCCAAAAAGTTCAAAAATCTGCACATTGATAATTCTAAATCCATGTCTTTTGTATTTAGCAGGAGGGACGGTGAAGAATTAGTTAATTTTTCATTAATTTGGAGGGGGGAGGCAAGAATAAACTTATTTAGTTTTCTTTACAAGGCTAGAACGAGGAAAATCTTATACAAGGCAAAAACAGTGATTTAATTATTTTTTATTCAAGGTCAATCATTCTTGTTATGTTTACTTCTTCAATAACAATCCATTACTCCAATTATGCGGGGATTATTGTCATCAAACACCATACTAACCTAAAAGCATAGTCTCATTGGTTAAAAACTGGCCATAAGAGTAGTAAGTATAGTGGTAATATCTGCCTTCATATTTTACTTCTTGCTTACTCTTGCCGTCTAATTGTCGAACTAATTCACGAATTAAACTATCGTCCATTAAAACTTTGGCTAATTCAGTCTTAGTTAGTTTAATTCCTTTTTCTCTTAATCCTTCTTTAAACTCTTTATTTTTCTCCTCATAATCAGGACTAATCTCTAATTTAGTAAAACTTTGTTTGCCAATTACTATATCACAATCATATTCACTGAGATTAGTAGGCTTTTGCGGAGGCTTCTTTGCGGTCATAAGAAAAGTTGGTTTTTAATTTAAAAGGCATGGATAATTCACTTAAATAATTAACTAACTCTTCCAAGGTTAATTTATCAAGATGACGGAATAAAATATATTCTAATTTGGCTTTACTAATTCCTAGTTTTTGGGCTAATTCTTTCTCAGTTAAATTATTTTCATCCTGATAACGGGAAATACTAAGGCAGAGATGATACTTAACTTTGTCAGACTCCGTGGCATTTGGCAATAAACCAATATTTACGCGACGATAACCCGGACGGGCAATTCTTTTTCTTACTCTTTCTAATTCTTCCTTAGGAGGGAAAATAAATTTTCTTGTCATATTAACTTATTTTTTATTTTTAACTCCCACTCACCAACCACAACACAATTAACAACCCCACCCCAATCCAAAATAACCCGCGATAAAAAGTAGGTTGCTGTTGGTAATAATCTACCGGCTTATAAGCGGTTTCTTTGGCTTTATTACATTTACAGTGATGGGTTTACCAGTTATGATGAGGATGGAGATGATTTAACTGGATGACGTTACATTTATTATGAAAGGTTGAAAGGAAAGAGAAAAAACTAATTTTCTTCCCTTTAACTTCTAATCACAGCCATCAAAATATTATCTTTGTTAGTCAATATAAAATTTCTTCTCCTTGCTCTCCGTGCTTAGAAAGCATTCTTTACCCTGAAAGTTTTGTTAATGCTAATCGCTTAGTAATGGTTCCTCATTCGGTCATTTCTTCCTTAGGGTTTTGCCAAAAGTGTTCTAATAATTGTTTAAGCAAGGAGGACTTTGAAGCAATTGTCAAGTTAAGTAATGATTTACCTAAACATCGAAAGAAAATTAAAAAAATTAATTTGGATTTTAAGGACTTTTTAGTAAATGGTTGGAAAATTTAAGCCCCGCTTACCTATATTCCACCATGGTATGTATCATGGGTTTTTCCTTATTTCAACCTTTTAATAATTCTCCTTCCATATAATCTTTAATTTTCTCACCTCAATTAGGTTCCTTTTCATGGTTTTTATTCATTACTAACCCGGCAATTTTTAATTTTCAATCATTAATCAAGTGTTCATTTTTTTTCATATTAATAAATCCGTAAGTGAAAATGTAAGGAGGAGTAGTCAGTTTATTCTTTTTCTTATCGTAAAAAATCACTACTAATAAAAAACCTCCTTGGGACATTTTTTCTCGCAAAACAAGGTTACTATTTAATTCTTCCATCGGAAGCAACCGGCCATTAAGAACGTAGTTCGGTTGGGCAGGAAGTTTCTTTTTACTCAAAAAAAATTCGTTGCCTTTGGCTTCCACCACTTCTCCATTGCCACAGACAAAAATGTTTTTTTCGGGCAGCCCTAATTCTTGGGCTAAATGTCCGTGCTTTTTTAACATCCGAAAATCACCATGAAAAGGCATAAAATAATGCGGTTTAGCCAAAGTAAGCATTAATTTTAAATCCTCTTGGCAGGCATGTCCGGAGGCATGAAGCAGATCCTCCTTGCTATTTTCATAGACTTTGGCCCCGAGGGAAAATAATTTATTGCTAACTATTTCCACATTAAGTTTATTATCCATAATGGGTGAAGAAGTTAAAATAATTGAATCCCCGGCGGCTACCTTCCAATCCGGATAATTTTGGTGAGCCAGCCGACTAAGTACGGCTTTTTCCTCTCCTTGGGAACCAGTGCAAAAGATAATTAATTTATTATTTGGGGTTTTGGCAATGGCTTCGGCTTTCAAAAAAACTGAATTGTCTATTTTTCATAAACTCGCCTTTTGAATGGCTTTCATCATTTTTAGGAGAGAAGAACCCAGTAAAACGATTTTTTTGTCCGTTCTTTTGGC